CTGCTCCTGCTGCTGTTGCTGCAGCAGCTACTGCTGTAGGGGTTCACCGCTAGGCTGCAGTTTACCTCTGACCTTTAGAGGAGCAGCTGTCTTGCGGTGCTGCTGCCTCTGCTGCTTCTGCTGCTGCTGCTGCTGCTGCTGCTGCTGCTTGCGCACCTGCTGCTGCTGCTCCAGGCCTTCTTCGTGCAAGCCTTCTACCTGATGCTCATCTTGCTGCTGCTGCTGCTGCTGCTGCTGCTGTTGCTGCTGCTGGTATCGAGGTTCCCTGTGTCTGTCTCGATGCTGCTGCTGCTGCTGCTGCTGCTCGTGCTCTAACTGAAAGAGGCGAGACACAGCAGCAGCAGCAGCAGCAGCAGCACGCTGCGGTCTCTTAGGGGCTTCTGTACTTTCCCCCCAATGTGTATAACCCGAGACCTTGCTGCTGCTGCTGCTGCTGCTGCTGCTGTTGCTGCTGCTGCTGCTGCTGCTGCTGCTTGCGGTGGCCTTCGCGGTTGCGGAGTTTGACGGCGGTAGCCAATCCTCCGAAGTGGTAGTTTCGCTGCTGCTGCTGCTGCAGCTGCTGCTGCTGCTGCTGCTGCTGCAGTGGCTGCTTGGCTTCGTGGATATATTGGATTGCCCTTGGCGCCGCAGCGGTCTTCCTCGTCGAGCAGGTACACCGCTGCTGCTGCTGCTGCTGCTACTGCTGCTGTTGCATATGTTGCTGCTGCTGCTACTACAGATATTGCTGCTGCTGCTGCTACAGGTATTGCTGCTGCTGCTGCTGCTACAGGTATTGCTGCTGCAGGAGCTAGTGCTGGTGTCACTGAGTCTACGCCTCTTGCGGCCGCGTTGCTGCTGCTGCTGCCACAGCGTGTCTGCTGCTGCCTCAGCTTCTGTATGAGTATCTAGCATCTGCTGCTGCTGCTGCTGCTGCTGTTGTTGTTGTTGCTGCTGCAGTTGGGCTTCCCCAATGGGTGGGTGAGAAGGAGAAGTAGTAGCAGCAGCAACTGCTGCTGCTGCTGCATCACCACAATGAATTCTTGGACGTCCCCTTGGCCTCGTGTGGGGCCCAGCAGCAGCAGCAGCAGCAGCAGCAGCATTTGCATATTTGTCGCTGGTAGCGAGTACATCAGCAGCATCAGCAGCAGCAGCAGCAGCATCAGCAGCAGAATCAGCAGTAGCTGCAGCAAGAGCAGCAGGAGTATCCGTTTCCATATTGCCAGCAGCACCAGCAGGTGCTGCTGCAGCTACATTTGCTGCAGCAGCAGTAGCAGCAGCAGCAGCAGCAGCAATTGGACTAGCAGCTAGATTGCTGCTGCATGCAATTGAATATTTTTTATGTTTTTCTTGTTGTGTATAAACACTCCTTGGTGAAGAAATTAATTCATTATTTCTTCCTTCTCTCCCTCCTGCTGCTCCTGCTGCTGCATTTGCTGCTGCTGCTGCAGCAGGAGGAGGGACAACAGCAGTAGAAGTAGTAGTAGGATCGTTTCCTGCAGCAGCTGCTGCAGCAGCAGCAGCAGCAGCTGCTGCTGCTGCTGCAGCTGTCGCCTTTCGAGTTTGTTTGATAGGAGAATGTTTTACATCTGTTGTTGCATTTGCTGCTGCTGCTGCTGTTGCTGCTGCTGCTGCTGCTGCTGGTGCCTCATTCTCTGCTGCAGCTGCTGCAGTTGCTGCAGTTGTATCTGCATGCCCTTGTTTCCTTGTATTATTTTGATTATTTCTTCCTCCTCCTCCTTTGCCAGTACCTAATGGGGGCCCCCCTCCTCCTTTAATAGTTGATGGGGCCCCCCCTCCTCCCTTATTACTAGTACTACCTGATGGGGGCCCCCCACCTCCTCCTGCCTTACTACTATTACTACCTGATGGGGCCCCTACTCCTCCTCCTCCTCCTCCTCCTTTACTACTAGCTGTTGGGGCCCCTCCTCCTCCCTTACTACTATTACTATTACTAGTAGCTGTTGGGGCCCCTCCTCCCTTACTATTACTACCATTACAACCTGATGGGGGCCCCCCACCTCCTCCACCTCCTCCACCTCCTCCCTTATTATTAATAATAGGGGCCCCCCCTCCTCCTCCCTTACTATTATTATTATTATTACTAAAATTATAATTCCCTCCCCCTCCTTTCCCATGACAATTAACATTCCCTCCTCCTGTTCCTCCTCCTCCTGTTCCTCCTCCTCCTCCTCCTCCTGTTCCTCCTCCTCCTCCTGTTCCTCCTCCTCCTCCTCCTCCTGTTCCTGTTCCTCCTCCTCCTGTTCCTCCTGCCTTATGACAATAACTATTATTATTACAATAATTACTAATGTTTCCCTTAATATGAATAGTGCCCCCCTCTCCTCCTCCCTCTCCTCCCTCTCCTCCCTCTCCTCCTCCCCTTCCTCCTCCTGCTGCTGCTGCTGCTGCTGCTGCTGCTGCATTGAATTCTTGTTGTAGTCTATGTACGAATTGTATAGCTAATGTTTGTGCTAATGTTTTACCATATCTTTTGCTGCTGAATAAACGACATAATGTACCACCAGGTATAATATATGATCTATTACGTATAGTACGTAAAAAAGATGTACTACTACTGCTGCTGCTGCTGTTGCTGTTGCTGTTGCTGTTTGTTGTGGTGCTGCTGCTGCTGCTGGTGCTGCTGGTGGTTGCGGTCCTGCTGATAGTCCTATTGTTATTGTTATTGTTATTGTTATTGTTGCTTGTTGTTGTTGTACTTATGGTGGTACTTATGGTGGTGGTGGGGTTGTTATTGGTGGGGTTGTTGTTGTTGGTGGGGTTGTTATTGGTGGGGTTGTTGTTATTGGTGGGGTTGTTGTTGTTGTTGGTACTATTAATTGTTGTATTAATAATGGTTGTATTAATGGTGGGGTTGTTAGTGTTTATTGTTATTATTTGTGTGTTATTATTGGTGGGGTTGTTGTTATTATTATTATTATTTATATAAGAAGAAAGAGAAGAATTAATAATATATTTATTATTATTAATATAATTATTAATTATATTATTATTATTATTATTATTATTATTATTATTATTATTATTA